TTTGTATCTGTGGCTAATCAATATCTTTTTATTTATAATAATTTTACAGATATCACTGAGTTCAAACTCTTAGCGCGTTGTTGCTTTGTACAGAGAGATTACCAAATTATGATTTGAAACCTATTAGCAAGACCAATGGATTCTAATTCAGAATTTTGATTTTCTCTGTATAAATTTGCAAGAATGTTCTTTGAACAGGTTTTTGATTATAAAAAATGCTATTCAAATTAATCTAAAGTATTCTCAAGTTATATTACTTAAACATGTCTAAAAATTTTAGTTAAAAATTAAACTATTTTCTATAGACTATCGTTTCAATATATATCATAAAAAAATAGTAGCTCTTTCTTATTACTGGCCAAAACTTAGATTTTACTACAAAATTTTAATATCCAAAATCTCGACAGACCATAATACTGGCATCACATAATATAAAAATTAAAAATTTAAAGTTTAACAATAACTATTAATATGATTACTAATTGTTAAATACTAATTGTCATGTTGGGATTATAGTTTTTAAGATTTTGGATGTCAGGATTTTGTGGTAAAACCATGTTTTATATATCCTTTAGATCATTAGCAAATCATATTGAGATGTTTGAGAACACTTTAAATTATAAATGATTAAGCATTTTAATATTTTAATTTAAAAAATACTAATTATTATTTTTTTTTTAATTCAGCGGTCCTGCCTATTACTTTTTATTTAGAAGTACCAGAACTTATATCAACAGGAAGATACAATTTTCTATACTATATTCCATGCGAGTAAAGATTAACTCAAGTTAAACTCAGAGAAGGACCTACTTAGCAGCAATTGGCTTCACATTAGATCCTCAACTTTCTGAAGATATAAACCCTCTGATTCTTAGTCCTAGTAGCTATATCACTTCATCAAAAGAACCAAATTAACGAAAGCACAAACATAAAAGAAAAATAAAACAGAGATGAAGAGGATACGATAAAAGATACAAACAAGAAGAAGAAAAAAAGGGTAAAGAAATATCGAAAAAAAAAAAAAAAAAATTTTGTCTATCCTAATGATCACTATTATAAGCCTATAACAGACTTGTAAAAATTACATACTACTAAATAAAATAGTCTCTACTCTAAATTTATCTAAATAGTATATTAAAGCTCAAAACTAGTAAAAAAATACTTTTTTGACTATATAACATAGGGGTTGGTACTCGATCCAAGTCTTAGAGTATTGTTTATCAGCTTGTTGTATTCGAGGCATATGCTTTGACATATTTGTTGTCCTGTTATACTTATTTAGAAAGTAAACAATACTGACTGTTTTGGTACACGTGATATCGATCTTTTAGAGAGGGTAAACTGAAACGCCCACTTTTTACAAAAATCCTCAAAAAAAAGTGGTAGGCCAACAAGAATATATAAGGTTCTTCTTGTAAAAGTTACAGTTGTATAGTCTAGTTTCTTAGTTTTTACTTAGTATTCCTGTCCAGGAATTCATAGTGATATTGCACCCAAAATATCCTTTTGGTTTGGATATTAAAAGTGCGAAAGAGTCTACTAAAAGCTTGATCTAAAGGTACAGCCCACTTGTTGTTTATACGCCCGCTTCTTAGTATTTTACATATATAAAGTTTCATCAATAGCAAGTATGTTTGTATAGTACTAGGAATATTTAGGTATCTACTTTGTTGCTTTCCTATATCATTTTTTTGTAGTTTGGTTTGTTTTGTTGTTGACCAAAAGATCGTTGAAAAGAGATGTGTTGCTAATTATTATTTATTTTTATAATTTTTTATTTTATATACAGTTTTGTTAAAAAAATAATCTAATTATTAGAACTATTTGAAGCTTTAACACGAAGATTGTCAAGTACTAAATATCCAATACTTAATCTAGTATATCTGTATATATGTTGTGCCTCAGATGCATCCTTGCGTCAGATGATGCCTGGCCTGAGTTAGAATTAGGGTTAAGGTAAAAATCACAAGATAATTTAGGCTAATTGTTGCAGATCATTTAATGCTAGTCATCTGATAGTCATCTGATATATGTCAGCTACAATCTGACACAAGGATCCATCTGAAGCACAACATATATATATATTAAACCAAATATTTGTGACAAAAATTAAAAAAAATGAAACTATTGATAGCTATTTGGATCTTATTTATGTACTTTAATACAAGATAGTATTTTAGAAAGTACTGAAAATAATGATGATTCAAGTTTTACAAGTGATGATAATGATATTCCAGCTATTAGGAATCAACGATATTTAAAATATGCTTATCAACAATTTAAGCAACAGATAAAAAATATACAAAGATGAGGTAGAGATCGAGGTCAAAATAAAGATTGGAATATCTGGTTGTCTAATTAGTTATTGCAGTTTGCAAAATTATGTGAAATTTGAAGATCATAAAAAAAAAATTAATTACTGATTTTCAATTACTGATTTCTTCAACTTTTTTTTTGACTTTTAGACTTGACAAAATTTGCGCGTTTACTATTTGTGAAAATTTGATTGAATATCTTAATTCGCAACTTCTATTTCTGCAAATATATTACAAAATGATAAATATGCAACTTTTATTTTTATAAAAATAATAAAATTTTTACAAAATAATAACTGCTCAAATTTTGTCTAATCTAAAAATCAAAAAAATGTTGAAGAAATCAGAATCAGTAATTGGAAATTGTGATTACTTTTTTTTTTAATGATCAAATTTCACATAATTTTGCAAATCACAATAATTATAGTCTTCAACTAACTAAAATATTGTTAATCAGTTAATTGTTAGTATTAGATTCATATTAATCAGATTATTGATTATATGAATGTTGACAAGAGAATAAAACTTTAGGCTTTCAAATTTATTCTTTATTATAGTATTTACCAGATTTGGCTCTTAAAAAACTAACAGTAATATATATAGAGATGCAAATCGGCTCTATTGATTAATCAGTTTTTATTATACTGAATATACTAGCTGATCGAGCCATTTGCATTACTACATATATATTACTGATCAGGTTTTTTTATAAGCTGAATCTAGTAAAGAATAAATGATAAACTTAAAAACTTGAAGTCTTATTTTCTTTAAAAACTCATATAGTGTTTTAGTTTACTAAAAAAATTTAGTCAACTAATCTATTATTGATTTTTATCCTTAGGTCAGGGTTAAAGTCAAGGCCAAAATCGTAATAGAATATCTAAAAAAAATAAAAGTATAAATGTAGACATTAATCAAATTAAGTGTTTGCTACCAGCAAGTACAGAAAATCTTATCCAAAGGGTCTATACAGCTATATATCTTTCTTTAGACAAACTATGTGAAATACTAAATGAAGCATATTTAGTTGTGATGATTTTAGATCCTTGAATAAAAAATTTTTCTTTTGCAAATGGTCTTGTCTACATACAACTACGAACACAAGCCGAGTTTCTTTTAAAAAACTTATATACTCAACTTAGGCAAGATTCAGCAACTGGTCAAAATATTGAAGAGCATATTTCAACTACAGTAAATTTAAATAATAACAATAATGAGAATATATTTGGGGATATAACAAAAATCAGGTGATTTTTTAGAGAGGAAGAGGATAAAAAAGTTAAAATTATATATAAGAACCTAATTTTTTTTTATATTAAGAGGGGGAGGAGGGTAAGCTTCTGATAAAAAAATAATCAGGTAATAAATGATACTGCCCTTGCTAAAATATGGGCTGATAATCAGATGCTAGTAGAAGACGAAGTTACTCATTATTTATACTATCCTGATGAACCAAGAAATCTTGATCCTTTGATTTGGTAGCAAGAGCATTAGATAAGTTATCACCTTTTATCACAATTAGCATATAAATATCTTTCAATACTTGCTATATCTGTTCCTAGTAAACAATTTTTCAACTAATATTAGCAACCACATTTCTGCAAAAAAAATATAATTAATACCTAGTTTGGTTAATAGTATCTTATTTTTAAAATATAATACTATATACTTCCCTATGTTTTTACTTTTAGAAACTGATGAATAGTTTTTTTTTTTTTTGCTTAAATTTAATAGTTAACCTACAATAAATAAAATATATAAATTGTAAAATGAATAATTCAG